CGTCTCGGCACTTGAACGCAGAAGCGCCGACTTTTCCTTTTTTTCACGCCTCTATCTTCTCATCGCTACTCTCATCCTCATCCTCTGAACCACCACCTTGCCTCCCAACAAGATAGGACCTGGGAAACAACGCTAACGAACACAAGGCACGATGGAGGGCACATAGAGACGATGAGGAATGACCTTTAAGGGCTGGAGACCGCGAGGACACGGTCTGCCAGCCATTACAATTACCTGTGCATAATCCGTTCGATGAACGGATTACCTCCATGCTAACGAGGTGCCGCAGTCACGACAGGTCCATCGTCGACTCGCGTTGACAATTACTGACCTCTTCATGCGCTCCCGGATCTCGACAACCCCAACAAACCTCGGCCCTGCCCTTTTCGTATTCACACCGGTTCCGACGTGTCAACATCGTTCTTGTCACCCCGTTTCTCCATTCGACCCATCCCTGGCTTGTCTTTGTCATCTTCGGCCCCCCTCAACTCATTTGGTCATCCTTGATGATGAAACATTACCCTGTCCTATATAGCGAGTGGGTTAATTTATCAAAAATATACAGCATATTGATGAATAGAGAACACTTAGAATACCCTCCAGGACCTCCAGAAAATTTTCACCTAACGATATAATTAAGGGGATGGCGCGTTATGGACGTTGCAGGCAATGAGCAGAAATGACAGCTTCTTTCCCACGCTTTCTATAGGCACAAAAATTTCACCATTATTCACCGCAACCACAATGAGTGTTTTACTCAACTACTATCTAGGATGCTCAGGAGTATACCTAGACACATATTGTGCATCACTGTTGGTATAGAAAATTATGACGACAATGAAAATTATATGTGAGAAAAAATAGAGCAATTAAGCGCTCTATGTCGGATCCGACTCAGATCTAACATGTCTTGTATATCATATTACAGTCCTGGTTTTACAATAATAGTTTGTGATATTTTCAGCACTCATAGTAGCTACTATTGAGCTGTACTATATATTTCAATCGTGATTGAAGCACTGTTTTACAGTAGTTAAGCGCTCTATGTCAGATCCGACTTAGATCTAACATGTCTCGTATATTATATTATAGTCATGTTTTTACAATAATAGTTTGTCATATTTTCAGCACTCATAGTAGCTACTATTGAGCTGTACTATATATTTCAATCGTGATTGAAGCACTGTTTTACAGTAGTTAAGCGCTCTATGTCAGATCCGACTTAGATCTAACATGTCTCGTATATCATATTATAGTCATGTTTTTACAATAATAGTTTGTCATATTTTCAGCACTCATAGTAGCTACTATTGAGCTGTACTATATATTTCAATCGTGATTGAAGCACTGTTTTACAGCAGTTAAGCGCTCTATGTCAGATCCGACTTAGATCTGACATGTCTCATATATTATATTGTAGTCCTGGCTCTGATATCAGAAGAACATCAGATCCATGCATGGTGCATTACCTATATACTATGCTGAGACTCTATCAGTACTCTCATTGACGGTTAAAGTCATTGCTTACCTTGTAGCAAAAAAAAATAAAAAATAAAGCACATAAGCGCTCCGATATCGGAAGAAAGTCAAATGTCGGAAGAAAGTTAGAAGACAGTCAGATGCATCTATGGTACTATCTTATAGTCTATGTGATCATGTCAGATATCAGTGGCATTTTGGAGTAGCTCTGAGGGCTGCTTGAAGCTGTTTAATGTCTTAATTGATCCAATGTCGGAAGAAAGTTGGATGTCGGAAGAGAGTCAGAAGAGAGTCAGAAGTATCTAAAGTACTACTCATTGCTCATGATACATATCTCAGCTGTTCATAGCAGTGTAGCATACATCTAAGACTCACTTGTGGCCGTGCTGGTAGGGTCGTAATTGCTTGAAGTCTCAAGTGGTCTAATGTCGGATGAAGGTCAGATGTATGTAATATACTAAAGATTTCAGCTCAGAGCAGTCTCATTTGCATTCAAGTGCAGTACAAATAATCTACAATACTCATTCTACAATACCCAATTTACAATATCCAAGAAATACAGCACGATCGTATAATACAGCACACTACTATATACAGTACAAAAAGCTTGCAATATCAAATCAACTCAAATCGGTACACTTATTCTTGCAACAAAAGATGGACTATATCCCCCAAACGTGATGAACTGACTTCCCGTCGGATAAAAGCCGTGCCACAGCCTGTGTTGGTGAATGGTGTAATACGCGTACGGGCGCGTAGGGTAGAAGAGTCGAATGGTATAGTGTGGATGAAATATACGGGGGCCACAGCTTCACGACGAAGGCAGCGTTAGTTGACGGATGATAAAAAGTATTGACCGACGACGTACGCAATAACCCATATCTTCGGAATCCCATATGGACAGTCCCATTCCGCTCGATGCGCCCAAGCTCCTCGTACTGCTCGAATAATACTGGCGTCCGATGGACGGTGATGCGTAGACGTTGCCCAGTAGATTGTAATCTATGTACCGCTGTTAGTCGTATATGCAGATTGAATCGAAAGACGTACCTCAGTTTCGGCCATAATTTTGATTGTCGACGATGGCAATGATGATGAGGACGACAGAGAAGCAACGCGGTGAGCTTACGCTGCAGCGGGAATGCCCTGAGCATTGCCGAGGACTTGGGCGTCGTCAGAGTTGGGGGGGAAAAAGTGAAAAAAGTGCGCCCTTATAAGCTATCCGATATTAAGCGCTCCGGACCGGTGATCCGACCGGCGCTTAGTTAATTTGCGCTCTTGAACTGCAACAGTCATCGTCAATGCTGCCGCGCGCAGTGACGGGCCATATACAGATGTTCATGAGCCACAAAAGACTGAGTAGATCAGTCTTTTAAATGCAAGGGTTTCAGGGAAATGGGTTGAGGAGGAGAACAGCGTCAATGAAGATGATTCTCCTCATCGCCTGGTAACAGCTATTGTCGTCGCTGCGTCCAGGCGATGAAGACAGCGTCATTCACGTTGAGCTTTGCTCATCGTACGCTATCTAGTGCGACACTATCATGTACTAGTGTCGCGTACAAAATTTTTGCCACATTTCGGCAAGCGTTCGGCGTTACTTTGTTCGGCCGAAATGCCGATACGTTGCATCACTTTCAGCCGAATTCGCCGACTCTTCGGCGGTCATCGCGTTCTCGGCACCTCGGCGTATCGTTCAAAAGCGCTGTCCTGTAACTTTCTCCCACGCTTCTTCTTCTTCCTCTCTCTCATCTCTTCGGCCACCATTTCGTTCCTCAACACGACAGGACCCCCAGGACAACACCAAGGACATCAGGAGACGATGGAGGGCATATAGAGGCGACGACGAGGACTAATCTAGAGGGTTGGAGACCACGGTGACGTGGTCTGCCAACCAATAAATTCTTGGTGCGTAATCCGTTCATCCGAACGGATTACCCTCGCTCACATAGCCCCTGCATCAGGATAGGGCAATCGTCGACTCGCGTCGACGATCTCCGACTACTGCCCTGCACCCCCGGATCTATGGAGCCCCCACTCATCTTTGGCCCCGCCTCTTTATGTTACCCCTCAGTCCCGCCTTGTCAAACTCATCGTCGGCCTCCTCTTTTTCACGATATACGCCCGACAACTCCGACACTTCGTGTCAAGCCCCCAGTTCCGCTGTGTCAACGTCAACGCCGCCCCTCCTTTTTTCCGTTTATCCTTCCCTCACCTCGTCTTCGTCATCCTTGGGACTCTTACACCTCGTTTGGACATTTCTGATTACAATGCTGCACAGCCGGTACATCAACATGGGCCATTTGACTTCATCAACAAACCACAAACGTCGTATCTGGCTAGCATACACTTTGTCTAGCCACGTTTGGCCTCCCTTTCCATTCAATTTGGCATCTCGAGCTTTTTACGACGACAGGCGACTCAAAACGAGTCAAGGCGACTCCTCGCCTGTCGATGTTTCTCATTGTTTATTCATTTTCCATTGGTCTATAATCCCGCCGGGTCGACCCGTATACCTACGTTGACCCGTGCCTTCATTGTTTTGACTCGTCGTCGAGTCATATCGACGACGTTTAACACGTTCTGGCTTCGGGTCATGTCATCACGATTGTCATCGTGGTGACGCGTCCCACAGCCGACATTACCTTTATATATCTATACCTACCCAAAATACTATATAAACCGTAGGTATTTTGTACCCGAACCCCAGTTCGGTTATTCTCATTAATTCTAGCTTTGGTTCTCATCTCTAAATCTGGTCTCTGAATGCCCTTGTAACTTTATCAAGTCTCCAACGATTAGCAACAAGGATGAATATCATCCTTCCAGCTCCCAATCTTTGGTATAGACATACTGCCTAGCAGTCTTTACCCCGCGTTTTAGGATGACTAGCTCGTGCTAGCACCTAACAGAAACTCTATAAATACCCTATCTATATCCTGTAAAATTCCCAAATCAGATATTCTTAATCTATTTGCTTTCTCCTTGATCTTTTCTGTATTCTCTAACAAACTTTGTAACAATACTAAACCCAACGTAAAGACTCAAAACACCATATATATGAATGAGCTGTTCTGATAAGTAAGTCTGCTTGGCTCAATGTTAGAAGGTCATATAGCAATATGCAGAGTAGCATGGGATCTGGCTGCATCATTTGGTTGCAATGTTTTTTTAAAAAAATTCGTGTCCACCAATTCTTATTGGAGAGAGCATCTAATATCCTTTTATGTAAGGCCACTGAAAAACCTGAGGGCGCTTGAGGGCGCTTAAAATCAGATAAGCATATACTAGACATCACTTTCTTTACATGTTCAAATCTCACTAAATGAATGAATGTGCCAAGATTTCCTACAAGAGTCTAATGGCCAAGTAAGTTATTGTACTTGTGATAGAGTTTCTGTCGTGTGTTCAAATGTCTAAGTATAACGAAGAATTCTGAAGTTGATATAGACTGACTCAGTAGATTTGAGCATTATGAAATCTGAATCACTATTATAGTTGTGCAGGCAGATATCATTGACGATGTGCACTTGGCTCAGTGGTAGAGCATCAGATAGTGCGTGAGATTCATTATTTGAAGGTGACAAGTTCAAATCTTGCAGTGGATACACCAGTAATTATTTGGAATTTTTATTGGTCCCCACAACGGCTACCTGTGAGGGCAGAGCATGATCAGTGGCCATGTCCTGACTTTTTACGAGTGTTCGAGAAGATCACGTGCAACTGACGCTTATGTAAACTTGCTGAGCCAAGTAGTTTAACGCCCAGACATGACTGCTGGCTGACCGAGCCTTTTCATATCACAAGTGAACCATTGTTGGAGTATGTCCACTTAGCTTAATGGTCAAGCACCCAATAACAGTATGCGGTTACCTGCGTTATTTGGAAGTTGCAAGTTTGAATCTTGCAGTGGACACTCCATTAATTCTTCAAGAAGTTTCTTTTTGACAATATAGGCGTCTTAAGGCGCTTAAAATTAGATGCAGGCTAGACTTACCATACGAAGAATTCTGAAGCTTATATATATAGAGTAGATTTGAGCATTATGAAATCTGAATCACTATTATAGTTGTGCAGGCAGATATCATTGACTGAGGAGAGTGGTATCAATGAGCTTTTCAGATAACTATGTCCACTTGGCTCAGTGGTAGAGCATCAGATAATGATTAATGATGGATGCGTGATTCATTATTTGAAGGTGGCGAGTTCGAATCTTGCAGTGGACACACCAGTAATTATTTGGATTTTTTATTGGTCCCCACAACGGCTACCTGTGAGGGCAGAGCATGATCAGTGGCCATGTCCTGACTTTTTACGAGTGTTCGAGAAAATCACGTGCAACTGACGCTTATGTAAACTTGCTGAGCCAAGTAGTTTAACGCCCAGACGTGACTGCTGGCTGACCGAGCCTTTTCATATCACAAGTGAACCGTTGTTGGAGTATGTCTGCTTAGCTTAATGGTCAAGCACCCAAGAACAGTATGTGATTACCAGCGTTATTTGGAAGTTGCAAGTTCGAATCTTGCAGTGGACACTCCATTAATTCTTCAAAAAAATTCTTTTTGACAACGTAGGCGTCTTGAGGCGCTTAAAATTAGATGTAGGCTAGACTTACCATGATACTCTCTTCAAAAGCAAGAAAGTGAGGTACTAGTGATTATAACAGTAATAATATAATGAGAATAATATCAGACGTAGGCTAGACTTAACATGATACTCTTTTTAAAAGCAAGAAAGTGACTCACTAGCGATTATAACTGTAATAATATAATAAGAATAATTGAAAATGATATAATAACAATCACATCGATCCAACAATAGCCTGAGCATGTTCCAACCACTTGTAAACGTCTTTGTGTCTTTGTACATCCACTGACTGGAAATAGTTGTTGTCGTTGATGAATGTAATCACCTTTTTCAATGACAACAAACCTCCGACAACTCCACGGTCATGATGATAAAGCAACTTCAATGCCTCATCCATGATAGAATCAGATAAAACCTGTGGGCTCCATTCCATGACAGTCATTGTGATGAGCTGGTTGCAATTCATCATAAAATCTCTCTCGTTGGTTGCATGCTGCTTGATTTGCATAGCAAGATACCCAGCACGCTGAATCCAGTCTGTACTCACAGTAAAGCACTGAGTACATTCACGAAGGAACTCGTTGTTGGGTCTGGATATAGTGGAGTTGAAATGACTGGGAGTGGAAGGGGTACCCGCTCTGGATGAGTGAGGTGTTGAGGTAGGAGTTTTCGTCATGAATGGATTACCTCTACCAGATGGCTTAACTGATGACGGAGCATTTTGAGACGAGAAGAGACTTGGACCTGATGAGGAACGAGTCTGGGGGACAGGTTTGGCAGAAGATGGTGGAATTTGAGTGGACAAAGCACTAGGACCTGATGAAGAACGGGTTTTCAGAACAGGTTTGGCTGTACTCCGTTCCAGCTTAAATATAGGAGGCGGAGGAGGAGGCAAGTGGGCTATTCTTTTCCGTTTGTGCTTTCTAGCCGTCTTAGAATGAGCAGACTGCCATGCCTGCCAGTTATAGCTTCTGCGGGGGGTACGTGGTGGTGATTCTGATTCGCTTTCAGATCCAGATGGTGGCAAAGATCGTTTACCAAGAATCTTCGTAGGAGATCTGGGTTTCGAGGAAGCCTTTGGAGAGGAGTCAGGAACCATTGAGTTTGGTTCCTGTGAGTCCTTTGAAGCGCCTACTTGATCCAAAGAATGTGGCGAAGACTCAGGAACCAATAACGTTGGTTCCCGTGAGTCTTTTGAAGCACGTAGCTGACTGAAAGAATGTGGTAATGGATGATTCGAGGGGTTCAACAGTCCATCGTTAGAGAAGACCTCGGAAGATGGAGCTCTTTCAGACACGTTGTTGGAAGATGTAGGAATAGAAGTCTCGTTGCTTGAGAGCGACTGAGACAAAAGAGGAACTTGAAGACGTGTAAGCTCTGGTGAAGGAGCATCATGTCCTCTTTGAGGAAGGACAGGTGCAGCTTCAGCACTTGCCGTCATCTGACCTTTCTCAGATGACGCATTCTGAGTAGGTTCAATTCGAGGTGGTAGAAGTGGGAGTAAAGGGACATCCTGGGAAGACAGAGCATCCACCTGAGCAGAGTTGGATCCAGGATTGGGAGATTTTCTGCGTAGCTCAGACGTAGATTTCTGAGTAAAGTCTCCATTACCATGAGATGGATGACCCTCAGGGGTGCCTAAACGTGAGAACTCTACACCACGGGTAAGATTTGGTGTAGACTCCCTAACTGAGACACGTTCTACATCCTCACTCAGGTAAGGATCTAGATCTTCATTTGCCGTAGGATCAAGGCTCATTTCCTCGATTTCTGCAAGCACTATTTGAGAGTGATTAGGGGGGAGGGTACTTATTTCAGTGATGAGTTTCAACGTACGCATCTGGTCTACATCATCAGGATCCTCCTTAGGATCCATCCGCGGTAGGGGTTATTAGATGATAGTAGGGGTTGGAGTAGGGGTCGAATCAAAAATTAGGGTAGGGGTAGGGATGGGTAGGGTAGGGGTAGGGATGGGTAGGGTAGGGGTAGGGATGGGTAGGGTAGGGGTAGGGATGGGTAGGGTAGGGGTAGGGATGGGTAGGGTAGGGGTAGGGATGGGTAGGGTAGGGGTAGGGATGGGTAGGGATGGGTAGGGATGGGTAGGAATGGGTAGGGTAGGGTAGGGGGTAAGGTAGGGTAGGGTAGGGTAGGGTAGGGATGAGATGGGTAGGGGGTAGGGATGGGATGGGTAGGGACGGCTAGGGAAGCCTAGGGATAAGTAGATTCAAAGCTGAAAGACCACAACTGAGATAGAAGCAACACTTGTAAAATCCACAGCTTGGTCAGCAAACCTTGGCCACTGGCTTTATCATCCTAACTGCTCTGAAGCTGTGGGGTGAGATAGGGCAAGGATACGGATGAGGTAGAGCAAGGATAGGGATGAGTAAGAGAAGGGATAAGAATGGCATAAGATAGGAAGGAGTAGACATAAGAATGAGATAGGGATGGATAGGGGAAGGGATAAGAATGGAGTAAGGGGGGTAGGTGTAGGACTAAGAATGGGATAGGAATGGGATAGGGATGGATATGGGCAGAGATCAGAATGGGGTAAGAATGAACTTACAATGAGTAGGGATGAGGTATGACAAGGATAGGGATGATGTTAGGTGTGCCCTTGAGAGCATTGGCACCAGATTCAATGGCTATGAGTTAATCATTCCAAAACATGGAGTGAGAGCTACTAAGCAGTGTGTTCTACACTGAGGATCAGAACCTGGAAGGACTTGTTTAACCTTGTTATAGAGACTGTGTCAGACTAGAGAGTACAAACAATAGAGAAACCACTAGATTAAATAACCAAACTGGGGTTTGGATACAAAGTACCTACAGTTTATATAGGTGTGTCTAGGTATTGATATATAACGTGATTGTATGTCGGCGGGAAGACATGTCATTGCAATGATAATATTGTAATGACACGTCCCAGTGCCGGGACGTGCTAACAAGTCATTGTTGTATAACGACAGCGCGTTATGACTTACCATGACTCGAAAGGACCCGAATCGACATGGAAACGTGTCGATCCGGCTGTTTACGAGTGTCAGAAGGTCATTGGATCTTGAGGCCCCAGACGAGGAATCGTCTTGACTCAGCTTGATTCGTCGGGGTCACGAAGAACATCTATACATACCAAATGAACAGTGCCAAAGTGTTTGTCGGTTCGGCGAAACACATATACCAGCCGAGGATGGGGTTTTTGTGTTGAGCAAAGCCTGAACGACGCATGTATGAGCCAATAATGGCAGGAGTGGGATTTGGGAAATATTGTAATCAGGGTTGACCAAACGGATTGAGGGGAGGCCGGCGATGACAGAAACATTGAAGGGATTGCCGAACGGAAAAACGCTGGGGCGAGACGACATTTGACAAGACGGGACCGATGGATTATTGTGTACAGGAAGAAGCAGGCACGATACTGGGTGTCGTAGATCCGGATGTGCTTGAGAGGAGTTAGGCTAACGTCGACGATGATCCTGTCTTGACGACGGGACCTCGTTAGCGTAAGTGTAATCCGTTGGATGAACTGATTACGCACCTTGAGGTTATCTAGTTGGCAGGCCGCGTCATCGCAGCCTCCAACCCTCCATACCCTGTCCTCATTGTCCTGTTGCTCATCCCTTGTGTGTCTTGTGCCCGTTGATGTTTTTCCTAAGTTCCTATCGTGCCGGTATGCACATCCCGGTAGTCTCCTCCTCCTCCTCCTCGCATCCCGCTAATCTCCTCGTCGTCGTCCTTGTGTCCTGGTGATGTCGTTGCTGTGCTGATCTTCCTCGCGAAACTTCTCCGTCCTTGTGTCCTGGTAGTCCTGGTCGTCTCCTCTTTGTTGTCCTGATCGACCCCTCCTTAGTGCCCTAGTCGTTTCCTCCTCTTGTCATCCTCGTCGTCTCCTCGTTGTTGTCCTAATCATCTCCTCGTCCTCGTCATCTCCTCGTCCTCGTCATCTCCTCGTCATCTCCTTGCCGTCGTCCTCGTTGTCCTTGTTCCTTGTTGTCCTTTCTTTGTCATCTGGGTGGTCTCCTCCTCGTCTTCTTGTTGTCGTATCCGGTAGTGGTGGTGGAAAAGAAGGAAGAAGTGGCGGTAAAGGAGGAGAAGGAAGCGGTGGAGGAGAAGGAAGAGTGTGAGAAAAAAATAAAAGTTGTGCCTATGCCGAATAAGACTCGGCTCGGCACAGTTCGGCCAATGAGAAAATGAGGTTGAGGATGCAGTATTGGTGTTCTCCCGAAATACAACGCGTATTGCAGAAGGCATGAGCCTGGCAAAGAATCGTCAAGACAGCGTGACGGGCAAGTATCGTAACACGTAACTCAAAGATCGTTCCAAAATGTTGTGTTTTGTGAATATTCGGTACTTGGTACTGAAGTATTGATTCAATCATGTATTGTATGGCTATCTTTATCACTATATAACTGATACTAGTCAGTAAAACAGTCATTGGAAATGAAATCGAAAGACATACCTCACTCCATTGCAGCTTTGCGAAGAATAGGTCGAATGATTTTTTTCCACACGATCGACTGCTTTGAGTTGAACAGGAAAATTTCCCGGTGCGTGTTGCAGCCTTGAATGACCCCTAAGCGTTGAGCCTATACAGACGATTAGAACTCACACTTAGGGCAATTGATTCGCGGTCTATCGTAACAGACACGTTCTAATAGAAGGTGCGCCAGGGCCTCTGAAATTCATAGCTATCGACGAAAGTCTTGGGATCGATGAATTGGTCACGCACCAGCTCTCCTCCTCCTCTTTACAGCTAACGGTGGGAGCCAATTACGACCGGGGGATCTACATTTTATGTTCCATTGCCTCCTCCTTTGGTGGAAGTTCTTCGACATCCCGATCTTCCATCGACGACTGTGATCCACGAATGCGTAGAGGTACCCAGGCCCGTCTGCACGAGACGTTGGACGTGCCTTTCGAGACGCATATAGAGAGCGCAGGACGCGTTTG